CCCCGGGGCACGCCATGCCGGCGCCGGCCCCGCCACCTCCGCGCTGCGCCCGCCGAGCCCGTCAGTGCCAGCGACGCTCGGACCCGCCGCCTCGCAGACTCACGCCCCTACGCCTCGTCATCCGCCCGCCCTCGCGGCGTCTGGCCCGCCAGCCCGCGCGGGGTCCCGGGACCTGCCTTTCCGCAAGAAGCCCCTGCGGCGTTCCTCCGCGATGGCCGGGACGCGGACCGAGGTGGGCGTCGCCTGGGTTCGCAAACTCCGAGCGGTCCCTCTGCACCCTTTGCCTCCGGGAATTTAAAACATTTTGTCTCTTAGGAAGTGTACTTACCAGTGTCCCCAGCATTTCCCCGAAACGTTTTCAGACTTGTTTTGAGGTGGGGATATGCGGCCGTTCTTTAGCGGAATAAATAAAAGGGCCACACAATCGGAGGGCTCTAAGCAGCGTGGATCCCGACCGCTTGGCTGTCTGAGCTTCTGGGGCCTGGAAGCCGCGAGCCCCCGACTGTGTGCGGTGCCGGAAGGAGGAGAAGTCTGGCTCTGCCCGTGGACTAGTGCGGTCCTTACTGGCTGAAGGAGGAGGTGGTAACTGGCCCAGGAGTCTCCCGAGCAGAGAAGTGAGGTCGACAGAATGGAGTTGGGGGAGGCAGATTTTGGCTCAGAGGAGAAAGATTTCTCTAATAACTAAGGCAACCCAAGAATAGAATGGGCCACCTGGAAAAAGAAAGCTCAAAACCTCAAGGATCCTCCGCCTGATGGCTACTTCCTCTTCTGAGATTCCGTAGGTCGAAGAAATATATTGGAGATGTTTTTAAATCTCTATTTTTAATAAGGTGAGAGGAGGCTGTTTCCCTTTTCTCCCGAACACCCATGATGTGATCCTGTGCCTTTATCAAACAACTCTTGAAAGTACTAAATACTTCCCCCAAGTGACACTTTTATGGCTCAAAGTGGCCCATCACTTGGTCTGTTATTACAATGTTGGAGAATTCCTACTCCCGTGATGATAAATTCTGAATGCAAGCAGTCATTTAAAATGAGCCTGATAATTCTGTGAATAAATTGAAGGAAATATACTTAAAACAAAGACTATATTGCACATCGTAAGAAAACTTGCTCATTTGTTCATTCTACAAATAAATCCTTAATGCTTTTCTAGATGGCAAGCTAATAAATATGATCATTTTAAAGAAGTCATGCTTTGAAAATAAACGATCGAGCCCAGTTGAAATCTTTCTGAATGTGTACAAAATATGTAATTTACGATCCCCTAAATGGTTTGCAGCTTTGGTATTTGAATTGTAAACCATTGATTAAACTACATTTCAGTTATGCTGTGTAGAAAAACACTTATATGCTTTGAATGTAACTAAGGAGTTTAGTAATTATTTACTGCTAAAATCCCACTGGAATCTCCAGTTTAAGTAATTTAAAGCTCTTGGTGAGTAAACACTTGTTTTGAGTCACGAAACACTTGTTTTTCTGACTAATAGGTAAAGTGTTCATGTTCTTTCTTTTCCAGTAAAACGGGAATAAAGATCCACCAGTTCTCAACTAATGTTTTTTTTTATTATTATTATTTGAAAAAGAGAAGTGTGGGAGGCCTTTAGGAGAGATTATCATTACAAGGGTTTCACAGAAATACTGAGTATGTATTTCAGCATCCATCAAATACGTAAGGTGCCACAGTGCCAGACTTCATTCTCTATACTAAGCAACAAAATATTCCATTGTCTGGTAACGTGGCAACTTTCTTTTCTCATTACCTTGAGAGTGGGAAAGAAAATATTTACTTGCGAACAATTTTCATTTTTTGAAAGATCATAAATTACTGAAAATGCTCACCTACTCAGTAGAACATAACATTCATCATGGACTGAAAAGTTCAGAAAAAAAGTCTTATAAACATGGGCAAATGTTTTACTTCCTTATAATGAATTCCCTTCAAATTCCAACCTATTTATGAAGCTGCAAAGTAAACATGTTAATAAGCCCAAATTTAAGACATACAAATGAGAAAAAGGCAACAAAGTACTCAAAACCTAACACATATTCCTTAGAAACTAGTGTATCTGCAAGTGTTCACTGTTGAAGATGTTTACATCACGAAGTCAGGCAAGCTGGATATTAAGTCATCCCTCTACCCTGTCATCTCCTGGTTTACTCAGCCACCCTAACACTAGCACAGCTGCAACACTGCTTAGCGTGGGCCGAGCTGTTGGGGGAAAATCTTTTAAAAAATTCTTAGGCACCATAACTCCAAAAGCCAATGTGTGGTTGGCTACCTCCGGGCTTCTCTTTTTGGGTTACTGATGTGCATTATCTACCCAAACCTCTTGCTCTCATTTAAAGGACTGTCCTCAGACTTGCCTGTCATTCCATTTGTTCATTGATGATTTTAGCACCCAAATCTTTGACTATTTCTTTTAATCACTTCTGGTAACTTTAACCTGCACATAGATGACTTAACATGCTGATTTTTGTTTTGTTTTGTTTTTTGAGACAGAGCCTCAAGCTGTCCCCCTGCGTAGAGTGCCTCGGCATCACAGCTCACAGCAACCTCCAACTCCTGGGCTCTAAGCGAGTCTCCTGCCTCAGCCTCCCAAGTAGCTGGGACCACAGGCGACCGCCACAACGCCCGGCTATTTTTTGGTTGCAGCCATCGTCGTTTGGCGGGGCCAGGCTGGATTCAAACCCACCACCTTAGGTGTATGTGGGTGGTGCCTTACCCACTTGAGCCACAGGCACCAAGCCAACATACTGATTTTTGAATGACTAAGTTAGTTCCAGTTGTCTTTTTCTGGCTCAGCTATGAAATCAAATGGTCATCTCCAAGGTATTATCACCAATCACTATACCACATTCAAACATCAGATTTCAAGTATCCTATTCCCCGACACAATCACCTATCCTTACCCACTGCAGTTCTCTGATCTCATCAAGATTTCTAACCCTGCCACTTTTTATTAATCATTCCACTGGAGTCCTTATTTCCTTTTATGGTCTAGTTTAGATTTCACACTTCAGCACCAAATATGCTAACCTACTTGGATAGTGACATATATCCCCACTTCTTTCCTGATACATTTGATGAGTTCTCTCTTGACCAGATCCTGCTCTACTCTCCTTTACAGCAAACCATTCTGAACTGTCTTTATTCTCTGGTTCAAAAACCTCACTTCCCATTTTCTTAACCTACTTTAATTGGGCAGTTATTTTCAATTCTTCATTGCAATGACTTTTTTGTTTTTTTTTTTTTTTTTTAGACAGAGCCTCAAGCTGTCACACTGGGTAGAGAGCTGTGACATCACAGCTCACAGCAACCTCCAACTCCTGGCCTCAAGTGATTCTCCTGCCTCCGCCCCCCAAGTAGGTGGGACTACAGGTGCCTGCCACGATGCCTGGCTATTTTTTAGTTGCAGCTGTCATTATTGTTTGGTGGGCCGGGCTGGATTTAAACCCACCAGCTCAGGTGTATGTGGCTGGTGCTTTAGCCGCTTGAGCCATAGGCACTGAGCTCATTGTAATGACTTTTAACAAAGTTGCAATGATAGAATTATTGCCAAAGTCAGTTAATCTCTATCTTACTAGACTTTTCTACATTTTTAGATCCAGTTGACTACTCCCTTATTACCTTTTTAATAAAATATTAATAACAATTCTATTTTATTTTCTTGCTTATTACTTTTGATTAATATTTGTATAGTATCTTTTTTCATCATTCCTTTTCTTTCTTTCTTTTTTTTTTTTTTTTGAGACAGAGCCTCAAGCTGTCCCCCTGGGTAGAGTGCCATGGCATTACAGCTCACAGCAACCTCCAACTCCTGGGCTCAAGCGAGTCTCCTGCCTCTGCCTCCCAAGTAGCTGGGACCACAGGCGCCCGCCACAACGCCTGGCTATTTTTTGGTTGCAGCCGTCATTGTTGTTTGGCGGGTCCGGGCTGGGGATTCGAACCCGCCACCTTAGGTGTACGTGGCTGGCGCCTTAGCCAGGTGAGCTATAGGTGCTGAGCCCATCATTCCTTTTCCAACCCATCTATGCCATTATACAATCGAGGGTCACTTAATGACAGAGTTATGTCCTGAGAAATGTCGTTTGGCAATTTTGTCATGAGAGCATCAAGTGCACTTACACAAACCTAGATGGTAGACCTACCACACCCCTAGGCTATATGCCTATTGCTCTTAGGCTACAAACCTGTACAGCACATAACTATACTGAATACTGTAAGCAATTGTAACACAATGGTAAGTATCTGTATTTAAACACATGTATACATAGAAAAGGTACAGTAAAAATATATGATCTTATGGGACCACTGCCATATAAGTAGTCTATTGTTCTCTGTAATGGTCTGGGACACATGACCATATTTATAATGTGTCTCTCATAGGTAACATACAGTTGAGTCTTGTTTTCTAATAGTCTGATAATCTTTGTCACTTAATTGGCATATTTATTCAATTTATATTTACTGTATTTACTAGCATACATAATTACTATAATTTGTATTTGTAAATTATGTAGTTACTAATATAATTGTGTTTGAGCTCTACCATCTTGATACTTGTTCCTTCTTTGTCCATCTGCTCTTTATTCCTTTTTTTCTCCAATACTTGCTTTCCTTTAG